AATCAACATTCATTGTACTTTCACCAAAAATTAACAAATATGAACTTAAATTTTATATTTTATAATTAATATTGGGCTATGTATATATAAATTGCTTCTAATTAATAGCATATACTGTATAATAGAAACATACCGTAAGATATTCTCTTTAAGGTTAAAAGGAGAAAAAAAAAAGTATATAATTTTTATTTGGTGAGCTTTCTATACGTATTAAAAAGATCCAACTAATAAATAGTAAATTTTACAGTTATCCGAAATTATAAAAAAATTTTACATAAAATATTGTATAAAGTAAGAAATGTGTCAGATATTAGCTGAGATTAGTTATTATCGAGCTCATTTCTCTCCCTTTTTCTGAGAAATTTAGTCATTCTGATTAGTTATATGTATATATTTAGACCTGAGATTTTGTCTTACTACGATATCAGCTGATATCCGCCACTTCCCTAACCGGTGTATGCATTATAGTTACATGACAAGCATATAATTAAAGAATACTTGCAATATATATGCGCGTAAAAATTGATTATCTTACAGATTCAACTTTTGTGGTTATGGATCATATTGATATCAATTATAAAGAGGCTAATATAGAGGAACTCAACTTATATAAAGGAAAGAAAATTTCAAACTGGATCATTTGCGATTTATTTTTAGACAAATGGAGTAAAAGTAGAGGTTTTAAAATAATAAAAGATCGTGTATTCAAAGATGGTGATATTGTTTGGAGAAGAAGCTATATTTGTGAACATGGAAAAAAATATGAATCAAAATCTAAGCAAAAAACAATTACTAAAAAAATTTCATGCCCTTGGCATTTAAATGTATCGTGTCCAAGTAACAACAGAGAAATTACTGTTAATACAATTGTAAATGAACATAACCATGAGTTAAGTATAGAAAGTATTCAATTTCAGCAATATAAAATTTTCAATAAAGATATATTAGATGATATTAAATTTATGACTAAACACTATAACATAGGTGTCACAGCTTAAAGAAAATTTTTAGAAGGGAAATATCCCTTACAACCAATTTATAGTAAGGACTTGTATGCCGCAATTCGTAAATTTAGATCTACCAAAGCTCTGTTAAATGATGCAGCAACAATGTCTAATTGGATTGATGAACAAAAAAAATAGAATACTAGATGGATTGTTACTAGAGATTGGGATGATAATATACTAACATGCTTATTTTGGATGACTTCAAGTCAGGTTGAAAATTGAATTCAGTATAGTGATTGCATATTTAATGATGTAACGCATAAAACAAACAGGTAATAAAAGTATAATAAGTATATGTATACATAATCATTATTTAGACTATTATTTTAGTCATGATATGCACAAATTCCTAAAAGCTATTTTCTCGCTAAAAATATGTACTATACCCGCAACTAATTAAATACTTACTCTAATCTTATATTGTCGAATAAGTGGTCTGTAAAGAAAATAATTTTTAGAAAATTAGTGACACCTAATTTTTACCCATTATTATTTATTTACTTGATTGTTAAATTGTAATATATAGGTAACTATATAGTTAGTGATTATTTTTGAACTATTATTATTAATTTATGCAATTG